CCAAGTACTGAGAACCACGTTTATGCTACCTCTTACACCTCAATGATTTCTAAGAAGCACTGAATTCCAAGCGGTGGTAATTAATTTAAAGCTTAATAAACCTGCAGATCTGAAGGCGTGCTCACTCTTAAGCGGATCCCTGTCACGAGTCTCACATTTCATGCCGTTTGGTGATGGATGGCAATTTCTTCCCAAAGAGGGCAAATTTACATTTTTGTGGGCCTGGCCGGTTCCCACCATAGGGAAAGGAGAGCGAATCCATCAAATGCTAATTAACAGGAGGCTTAGAAAGGCAGTATAATATAATAGGGACATTCATTATTTGTAGCTTGCCAGCTCAGAACCAGAGAAACTGCCCAATAAGGTTAGCAACACTATTTTACTTCCTTGAGAAGTTCCCAAGGCAAAGACAAGCCAAAGAGATCCCCATTTCATTGAATGTGCATGTTGACACATAGAACCAGTTTACATCAGGTGCTGTAAAGCACTGGTTCTTAACCTTGGGTTACTCAGGAGTTTTGGACTGCAACTCCCAGAAGCCTTCACCACCAACTGTGCTGGCTGAGGTTTCTGGGAGTTGCAGTTCAAAAACATCCGAGTAACAAAGGTTAAGAACCACTGCTGTAAAGGCAGGTCATCCATCTTGATTTTAAAATACCGTATTTTTCGCTCCATAAGACGCACCAATTTTTTAGGAGAAGAATACAGGAAAATATAATCTGTTTTCTTCGCTCCATAAGACGCACAGACTTTCCACCCCCCTGTTTTGTGGGAAAAAGTGCGTCTTATGGTGCGAAAAATACGGTAGTTATGGATGAACAGCGAACAAAGAAAGATTGTTATCAGTTACCATTCACATGTACAAATCTACGTAGCTTTCAAGTAAACAGGAGATGACCTTTTGGGGGGCACCTATATTGGTCTTTCTCTTCTGTCCTTACTTTTCTTTCAGCATTGTGGGATCACACGGTTACAACCACAAGGAGTTTCTTTACCTGCCCTTATCTCCTATGTTGCCTACATTTTAGCATTCCCAGGATCTTACGACTTTTCTGTCCTCTTGGTTATGTGCACAAGCTTCCCCCAAACATACATGCACAGGCTACTGCTACTGCCTGTCGCTGCTGCATATTTTGGGGGTACACCAAACCTTAGTTCTAAAGCACAAGAAGTCCCAGATTCAATTCCAAGCATTTTTCCAATGGTCTAACTCATTTTTAAACTAGCCACCAAAAAGAGCCAGCTGTTAACTCATTTTTCAGAATCTGGAGGAGGAGAATCTGGATAAAGAGAGATCTGGATTCTTCTGATATTTAGGGGGAAGGGACATAGCTTCACGGTAGACCTGACACTTTCCACATAGAAGGCCCTCAGTTCTGTTCCTTGGCATCTCCAGGTAGAGCTGGAAATATACTCAATCAGTTCCAGTTATTGTTCTCCAGGTTTCCCTAGGTTGATGCCATCTTGGTTAGATTGGAACTTCCATCACTCCCAGTTTGATGGGAGGCTGGTGTCGATATCACTGTGCTGGGTGGACTACAACAGAAACATCAGGCTGTAGACAGTCAACAGCGTGCAACCATCAGAAATACAAAATTGGACATAAGGTTCATCCGGTGATATTCGGCATGGCACAACAATCAGACTCTTTCAAGCATGAGATTTTTTCTTCTTCTTCTGTGAAATGAGCGTTCCATTGCTAAAGTGATGGTCGTAGTGAGTATGGGAGTCTCCCCAGAGCCATATTGAATCCTCCCGACAAATGTTGCTTAAAAGCCTCTGTTTTCCAGTGTAACTCCCCTTTTGATTAGTAAAACCCATTTTTTGGGTGGATAAAAATACATTGAAAAATAATAATAATAACAACAATCAGCCTTTTTTGGCCACACCCTTGCCCTTCAGCATCACCCTATTGGGAATTTGGTCCTCAGGCTGCTGGAAAATACGAAAAATTTCTTCCTTTGGTCCAAGAGATCGTAGAATCAGTTTTCACCATTTATCTTTCTGACCTGGTTGTTTTCCTGAGATCACTTTTTTCTCTGGTCGGCCCCTGGGTGGGAGAAGGGGGTCAATGGTAGGACGTTTTCCATGCCCAAATGGGTGTAAATTATCAAAATTAAAATAAAAGGATCCCTATATTTTGGAAACTAGCATGGCAGGTTGTGGGAATCTAGCTCACAGCTGCCAGCATGCACCTTCTTTAACATACACAAATACTGTAATGCAATCAAGATCCATTCATTCCTCCAGGACCCACTAGCTTCCTAAATGGTATCGTTGTACCATTTTGATGTTCACATTTATTATAAGGGAGATATTTATAGAAGAGTGATATTCCCAGCACTAATGGAAGGAATGTTCAATTTGCCGTGACCAAGAATAAACACTGGTAGGTTATAATTCCTGAGGGCAAAACTCTCTTAATGATATATGTTGCATCTTTTTGTAACAATTAGGCTAACCAACGGTGAGACAAAACAGCATGGAGAAAAATACTGCCTTAAAGGCATTATGGTATCAGTACATCACTTTTTAAAGAACCCAGCCACTAGAACCAGCTGTTTATTAAGTGCTGTTGTGAGATTATTCAATTCAGAACTACAGAGTTTCTGTGTTTGATTCGTTGTTCTGGGAGGTCAGAGAGGCAGAAGTCTGTAATTTAATGGTTTTTTATGCCCACTATCAAGGTTTTTTGTTTTTTTTAATAAATCAGGAAGTCTGAATATCATATTTGCCATGTGAGCAGTGAACGAAGTGCCTCCTAATTGAAATTAGCCAGTCACCTTGATATTTCTTCATAATATTTGCACTTTAAATTATTGGTATTCTGAGCAAAATTTCAACAAAGGAATGAACGAGTAAAGCAGCGAATGAAAAGACTAAACTGTTAGAGTGGCTGTTGTTATAAGAAAAGCCAAAAAATTCCACAATTGATCCTTCAATTGTATTTTATATACCAGTGCCACGTGGTGCAAATCAGCACATGCCAAACAAGTGGATGTAGCTCTTAATGAATCATGCAGGATTATTACTGGCTGCATGGAACCTAACCCACCCATTGAGAAAGTACATTATTTGGCTGGCATTTCCCTCCAGAAGTACGTACATAAGCGGGTACTACGTAGCATATGAACAAAAAATAAGGTGGTACAGCATCAGACCCATCTACTGCATGGACACCAAATCTCTAGACAACAACTAAAATTGAGCAGATGTTTTCTGCACACATCTCATGCTGTAAATATTAAACCAAAAGAAGCTAGGTTAGAGCTATGAGGAACAAAAACAACACACCATGCCCAAATGGCTAAATGCTAGTCCCACCAAGACAAGACTCTAGCTGGACCACCTGGAAGTCATAATACACTTCAAAGTGAAGTGGGAATCATAATCAAGTAAAATGGTGCTTCTTGGATAAATTTTCTGTGACTGTGGAGAAATCCAGTCAATGCAGCACTTTTCTGTATGCAATATATGCCCCACCATGTGTACAAAAGAAGATCTAGCAAATGTTCAAGCTAATGCTATTGAAGTAAAGCCCACTTTTGATAAAAAAAAACAGTCAAATTATCTTAAAATCTTAATTTGTTTTAATTTTACCTATATTTCATGGACATCCATAATTTTAAATGGTGCAACCCCCTGGAAGGAAGGAAGGAAGGAAGGAAGGAAGGAAGGAAGGAAGGAAGGAAAGGAAGGCAGGCAGGCAGGCAGGCAGGCAGGCAGACAAGACAGACAGACTTTTATATGATGGATAAAAGTATGAGGAAATTTGGCCTTTCATATGGCATTATAACACTGTACTGATAATATACCTACATGTATTACAGAAAACAGTTGTAGCATATGTGTGATATAAAAAGCAAAAACAATTAGATCAAGAGCAGCATTCCCTCTAATTTTCTGGAGCACTGCACAAACACTCCACCCTGTGCACATGGAGTCCCAGCTGTGACCAGAAGCAAATGGGCGGAAACTGTGGGTTGGCTGCACATGCCTGATACAGCACCGCGCGCCCACACGGCTTAGAGGGAACATTGATCAAGAAGCTTTTACAGTGCAATGCTATAGCTATTTACTCAGAAGTAAGTCCTGTTACCCCCCTTCCCACTGCTCTTGGGAAACATTTCAAGGAATTGTAACTTCATTACCCCAATGATTCATACATTTTCCCTTTGCTTACGTGTGGACTTTCCCATTGGAAGTTATTTATCGTTGTGTTAGGAAAGTAATGTTCTGATCAAGTTTAGTTTACTTAAGTCCATTCCTCATTTGTATCACGGTTGTATACATATAAAGAAGCAACATTTTCTTCCAGTGTAATAGTATTACCTGATTGTTCACTCATAGGCTGTGACTATATGATCAAATACTGTTTGATTTGCTGGAATTATAGGAGTTAGGGTCAATTTGAAATATATTGGTATATATTTATTCACATGATATAAAAGCGAATTTGAATCAGTCTAGACCTTTTTGATGCCAACCCGTCTTTTCCCCTTTACCACTGGGGGCTTCTACTTTTTTAAAAGCCAAATGATTCAAATTGACTTTTTTCCTGTGTGATCACTTGATTTGTTCTTGTAAAGATGGAGTATGTCTGTGGGTCATGTTTCAGTGGCATAGGCAGTTGGGGCATGATGTTCAGGACCGTGGGAACTGAACACCATGCCCCCCACCTTTCCACCCAGTCACCTGCCGAATATAAATATGAATATAATTAGCGCTGTATCACTTTATCACTACTGTTGCTTTACTAGTTCAGCGCTAGATCTATCCTAGATGAAGGGCGGGAAATATAATAAACATAATTAAGGATACCTTGCAAACGTACTTCCTTTGAAAGCAAGACTGAAGATTAGAAATGTGCCCTCTGACATATAACAGAGCACAGGCTAGAACTGAAGATTAACAGTGCAATCCTATAAACGCCTGAGCAAAACTCAACTTATTGAGTTTGTTTCATGACTTGGGGAGTGTCCAATCTATTTTCTCACCAGTTCCGTATGACGTTTGTGAGGTTCTGATGGCGAATCACCCTACAGCCCATTCACCCGTCTCCTTGCCTCTTCCAGTGGCTGCATCAACAGCAAATTCAACAGCTGGGGCGGCCATGAATTCTTTGACTTCCCTCGGGACTCTCCAAGGACTGGCTGGAGCCACTGTTGGATTGAATAATATTAATGCACTAGCAGGTACCGTGAACAGTGAGTATTTATTGCTGTGGTGGACACTCCAGCAATTTCCCTGTCATCGCCGTAGGAACACTAACACCTATAATAGGTTGAATGTGGCTATGAAAAAAAAAGAAAAAAAAGAAGGGGCAGAACGGCTGGTAGAACTAACAAGTTTGTACTCCGGGCATCAATAGCACCAAAGCCAAAACAGAATTGGACTTGTTGACGAACCCAGGCAAAGGCTAATATTTCTTCACAATATTCTCCTTGTCCTTGCAGGGTGTCCATCTTCTTAGGGATAATATCCTTATGCCTCAATTTGAGGATGTCTCTGCTCTGGATAAGGGACGTGGTGGCGCTGCGGGCTAAACCGCAGAAGCCTGTGCTGCAGGGTCAGAAGACCAAGCAGTCGTAAGATCGAATCCACGCAACGGAGTGAGCTCCCGTCGCTTGTCCCAGCTCCCGCCAACCTAGCGGTTCGAAAGCATGCAAATGCAAGTAGATAAATAGAGACCACCTCGGTGGGAAGGTAAAAGCATTCCGTGTCTAAGTCGCACTGGCTATGTGACCACGGAAGATTGTCTTTGGACAAAACGCTGGCTCTATGGCTTGGAAATGGGGATCAGCACCGCCTCCTAGAGTCGGAAACGACTGGACAAAAATTGTCAAAGGGAAACTTTACCTTTTTTACCTGCTCTGGATACTTCTTGGTTGGGCACCCTCTTGATCCAGTTGCACAAGGGGCCTCATCCTCTTTTGTGCTGCATTTCAAATCAGACTCACTTGCCTCCGGGCAAAACAAGACACACAAGTGTATAGCAGTGGCTTATATTAACAAGTCTCAACTCCAACCTTGAGTTCAACGTGGTCTTTATGCTCTTCAGTTTGTTCAAGGAAGCATTTTAAAAACTATCCACTGATAAGATGTGTAACAAAAACACTAAAAAACAGTTATAGCATCTGAAAGACTAACAGATGTATTTCTGTGTGAGCTTTCATGGATTGCCAAGCACCGCCCCCTAGAGTCGAACACGACTGGACAAAAATTGTCAAAGGGAAACTTTACCTTTTTTACCTGCTCTGGATACTTCTTGGTTGGGCACCCTCTTGATCCAGTTGCACAAGGGGCCTCATCCTCTTTTGTGCTGCATTTCAAATCAGACTCACTTGCCTCCGGGCAAAACAAGACACACAAGTGTATAGCAGTGGCTTATATTAACAAGTCTCAACTCCAACCTTGAGTTCAACGTGGTCTTTATGCTCTTCAGTTTGTTCAAGGAAGCATTTTAAAAACTATCCACTGACAAGATGTGTAACAAAAAAACTAAAAAACAGTCCTAGCATCTGGAAGACTAACAGATGTATTTCTGTGGGAGCTTTCATGTAGTAAACGGACTGTAATCCGTGAAAGTTCTCATTGCAATAAACCGGTTAGTCTTTCAGAAGCCAAACTTCCAGTTTCTTTTGTTGTTGTTTGTTTTACGAGAAGAAACAGACTAACACAGCCACCTCTCCAAGAACTGCTGATCAGAGTCCTAATCCATCAGATTCATAGAGAAAGAAGATAGTGTACATAAATGTGAATGGAAGGACATCAGCACTATATAGGCTGCATTTCTCAAAAAGAAAAAAAAAGGATTGTAAAATGTGTCTCTCCTCTGTATGCCTTGTAGTTAGCAGTTGTGTAGCGTTCGTGTTTAACTTTCTCAACAACTGTCTGAGTCTCCCATTGACACACAATGGAGACATCGTTTTTTTGTGTGTTCCCGTGATTTTTCAAGTCTCACGTTGTTAACTTGGGTTTACTCCCCTCATCTTCCCAAGGTTCTTGGTTCACGTGCACACGTACCCACCCCCCACTCCACCCCAGCTTCTCAGTTTGTCTGGTGTCTCAAATGTCAGAGGCCTTGTGACCAGCCGGGTACATGTCGGATGCCAAAGGGCACGAGAGCAGTTCTCAAGCCTTTCAGGAATGCCCACCAACACGCCGCCTCTTGTGTGTGAACCAAGACCTATAGGCATACACTCATACACCACTGCATCCTTCACATGCCACTTGCTCACCTCTTTTGGTGGCAGAGGGGTAAAATGAGTAGGCAGGAGGTATGTAGATTGGTTCTTGTCCATTCCTTGCTATGTGCGGGGCAGACATGCCCCAGAGCATGTGAAGTGCCCTTTACTAGTGCTGAAAATAAATGTATCGGACTAGGAAAAAAAATTACTGGATTGAATCCAATTTCAGTAATGTCTAAGAGCAGACCCATGTAAGTAGATAACCCTGACTTATGTGAGTCCCAATGATTTATCTCTTCCAAATAAGTGGGACATGGTGGCGCTGCAGGTTAAACTGCAGAAGCCTCTGTGCTGCAAGGTTGGAAGACCAGCCGTCGTAAGATCAAATCCACACGACGGAGTGAGCTCCCGTCACTTGTCCCAGCTTCTGCCAACCTAGCAGTTTGAAAGCATGTAAATGCGAGTTGATAAATAGGTATCACCTCAGTGGGAAGGTAAAAACGGCACTCCCTAGTCACGCTGGCCACGTGACAATGGAAACTGTCTTTGGACAAGCGCTGGCTCTACGGTTTGAAAAACGGGATGAGCACCAGGCCCTAGAGTCGGACACGACCTGACTAAAATGTCAAGGGGATCCTTTACCTTTACCTTATTCCAAATAAGGCCAAGCATGGATCTGATTCATTTTTCTTTAAAATATATATGTTGTGTCTCACTAAAGTTACACGCAAGTATGCTTGTGCAAACCCCAGTGACTGCACTTGTTAAAAAGGAAAACCAACTTGTAAGGCAATAATTTGAAGAAGTATCAGGGAAAGAGAGTGATACTTAGTCCTTTCCCCCTCTTAATAAAGTGTATCCTGAACTGGAGGGCAGAGGCATTTTAAAGCAGGAAAACAGCAAATATGGAAAATATTAAACACCCTCTCCTCTCCTACTCCTTCATGCTTTCTTTAACAAAAGCAGTTAGGGGTGCATGTCCTTGTGTTTGCAATGTAGCCAAGCCCCTAAAGCGAGTTCCTCTCATCAAAAAAGTGATCAGTTTCTTCATAGGATCAGGACCTTATTTCTAGATGACATAAAACAAGGGCTGAAACCCTGTTGCACAGTTATGAAAACAGCCTAACTTTGGGAAGCAAATTGCCGTACATTAAGACATCTCTTAACAAGACAGTTTGGAGATTGCTCGTTCATAGGGTCGCCAAAAAGTCAGAAGCCACTTGATGGAACATAACAACAACTATAAATCTCACGACTTGGCGTCCAACAGATAACGTTAAGGAGATTCCTTAAATGAATTGCAATTTGCCTCTAAAAGTCACACCATTTCCATAACTGCACAACAGGAGCAAGTTCAGTGACACAGATAACTGCAGCCCATCCGAGAAGACCGCCATGATTACAGGAATCAGGACAGAGCCTCTCTTACAGGTGAACAGGATACCTTAACATGGGTGTAAAGAAATTAGCTCCTATGTACAACTCAGGAAACAAGCCACTTTCTGATGGTCTGAAAGGCATTGGCTGATGCACCGGCTGGTCTAATACTGGCACTCGCTGGTCAGCTGATAGGTGTGCCCACCTTATGTCTTCTATGCTGTTGGAGACCAGCTGCCATAAGGGAATGGTCCCACTCTGTTTTGTCCTCCAAAGCCTGTGGTCGGGAGTATTTCTTTAGCTGTCCTTCCCACTTCCTTCATAAATTCTAGATGCTGCCCTGCCTTGCATTTTTTCCAGCAATGCAAGGAATGTGTTCAGACATTGCTGGTCCTTTAGTCTCAACACCTCTACCCAGATGAATGGATGGTCCTCCTCAGTATACTTGCTTGCTTCTGTTCTCTGCATGGCGGTCTACTTGTCTTTGTCCCTTCTTATCTGTCTTGTAAATCTCTTGTTCTTGTGAAGACTTTGGGGGAACGTGATGCTGATGATGTGAGAGACCAGCTGTGTGTCCATGAAAGAACAGTGGGGGGTTGCATGGGTCCTTGTATAGGGAAGGTCTCGCTTCTGGCAAGGGCTTGGGGGGGACTTTGCTTTTTACCAAGCGAAACGGATAAATTCCACACATAATTTGAGGACGTGCAGGAGGAGTTGGGTTTTAAAAAACAAACATTGAGTTCTAAAGTAAGTGTTAAATGTCCTTCCGTACCCCTTATGAACTGTCTTTCCAGGACATCTTGGAAATTTAAAATTGGTGGCTCGCAGTCCAGCTAGCTAGTTTCCATCACAGTGCTGTTGTAGGAGGCAGGCCACGAGAGACCATTCCATCAAAGGCATCCTCATCATTTGTAGTAACGAATTCCTCCCGTCTTCCCTAAGACTCTTGAGAATTGTACTTTGGAGAGGATGCTGTGGCTGATCACATAGTAAGTTACAGTTTGAGTAGGTCCATTTGAATGAATGGAATTTACATAGGAGTTGACACATTAAATTCCCATACATTCAGTGGGCCTACTCTAAGAACAGATTGTATTTGTCCTAAGTGTGGAAGGGACTGTCACTCTCGAATTGGCCTTGTCAGCCACACTAGACGCTGTTCCAAGTCCTCCATGCAGAGCACAATACCATAGTCTCTCGAGACTGAAGGATGCCTATGATGATGATATTAGGCATCATGGGTATAATATAGGAGCAATCAAGAGTGAAGACATAATTGCCAATATTTTAAGTTTAATAATCATCATCTTCTTTGAGTGGCAAAAATTAGTGCTCTGGTCATTATGCAAAAGATATAACTTCCCAGCCTCCAAAAATCCATGGGAACATCAGGTAGAAAATGAAGTAGTCAAGATCTCGTGGGATTTCCAGATCCAAACCAACAGACACACCAGGCATAGTAGGAATAGAACGAAGACCTTGGGATGCCAGAGTTGAAAATAAAGAATTGGGAAAACTAACAAAGTACCAAGACCTGGCCATCGAACATCTCGCCTCTGGAACAAACACACTCCAGTGGTCCCCATAGTCACTGGGGCTTTGGGAACAATATCTAGAAATTAAGCAGTTGCATATCCCAGAAATCACACCATCAGAGCTACAAAAAATGGCAATATTAGGAACAGCATACATACTGTGCCAATATTTAACAGATACTTAGGTGTTTTTTTTTTTTTAAATCTTGCATCTGTTATATAATACCAGTCAGTGTTTTTTTATAATTTTGACTCTGTCTAGTGTTTCTGAAAAATAATCACGTAAGTGTCCCCTTGTTCTAAAATCCTCGTTAGGACACACGGAGCAAGAATTCGTATAGAGTAGCTGATTAGAAAAGAAACCAGGGAGTGAGGAGAACAATCCGGTCGTCCAGTCTCTTTACTGCCTCTTCCAGGATTGCTCACCGACGCTTGTTGTCAATGGCTAATCATCATGTTTTAAATTAGTGCTGTGACTGTTTTCAGATTTTATTTCTAGAGAGCCATTGCAAAGTGCGAACACCCTCATTCCCCCAAGACATTTTCTTTGCATTGACATAGTTCAATTTATACCTCTTTTTAAAACGTATTTAGAAGCTGACGCCATTCAAAAAATCTGTGTGGATGTACAGTATAAGGCTTCCTCGTAGTGGAGTCAGATCTTTGGCTTATTTTGATTTTATTTTCTGCGCCATTCAGCAATGGCTCTTCAGTAGCCTCCAGCAAGCATGACCCTTTTTTCATTGCAAATGCTAGAGACTGGACTTCTGCAAATTTCAGTGCCACACAGATTTTCTCTTTCTGTTTCCAACATTATTTTGGGTTTTTTTCTCTCTCCTCTTTCCGCATCAGTTTGTCATTATTATTTTTTAAAGATCACAATAAATGTTGTAATTATTTTTGTACTTTTTACCCCCGCATATACATTTTCTGTACATTTCCCCCAATGTATGCATTTTTATGTGCCCTTTTGTGTAACTTTTTAATTGTCTTTTTTTTTGTGACGTGTGCTGCCACGTTTGGGAAAATGCAGAATATTGCCCTATAGCTATGTTCTAGTTTTTGCATAGGTGTAAGAAATGAATGATGGAGAGGTATGTGTTAAAATCATTAAAATGTTAAACAATGCAGTTCCTCTCCACTCCTAGTCAGAAAGGAGATACATCTAATCCGAATGTAGGAAGTCACTCACAAACTGTTAGTTTAAGGGAGTCAGCACTGCCAACTCGGAATGATGCCAGCTCAGCACAGACTTTGCTTGGAGTTTCTTTAACATGAAAGCCATTAAGTGAGACCTTATACAGCACAGTGGTGCCCCGCATAGCGACGTTAATCTGTTCCAGGATTAACATCACTATCCGGATTCGTTGCTATGCGAGGGGGGGGATCCCATAGGAACACATTAAACTCCGTTTAATGCGTTCCTATGGGGGGAAAACTCACTGGTAAGCGAAGATTCCCCCATCCGGCCGCCATTTTCGCTGTCCGGTAAGCGAGGGCAGGGCGCGAAAACACTGCGGGCGGCCATTTTGCTGATCCGGAGGCCATTTTGGAACCACCAATCAGCTGTTTTCTAAAGATTGCAATGCGAAGATCGGTAAGTCATCGCAATGCGATGTTTAGCCTATCTAAACATCGCAATGCAATCGCATTAACGATCGCAAAAAATGCGTCGCTATGCGGATTCGTCGTTAAACTGTGTGCTCGTTATGCGAGGCACCAGTGTATTGACAAAGCCAGCACCCCGTTATGCGAGGCACCACTGTATTGACAAAGCGAGCACCATGTACAAACTCTTCTGTACAAGAGTTCTGGGGAACTCTGTACACACTCTTCTTCCCATCCTCCACATGTTCTCAATCATGTGGTCAGCTCAAAGCAAAATTCATGTGACCAAAGAGGAAATGCAAAATTTGTAAAAAGAAAAGAAACAATGATTTCAGCCTCTGTCTTCCATGCATTTTTTGGCTGCTCCACCTAGAGCTTTAAGCATGTGTCACTTGTACGTACACACACTGGAGAGGATTTAATGAGCACATTGAAAACGGGATCTCACATACAGCTCTGCAGACGCCTTCAGCAGGCAATGTTCCCTTCCCGACACTTTTAGTCTGATCTTTGTAAATGGAAAATCCTACATATTGAACTCGGAGCCTTCTGCGCTCCACGGACCTGCTCTGGCTGTGCTCTCCATAGCTGCCTTTGAGGTGTTCCCCTTCATTCTGCTAGTAAAGCCGGGTTAGTTTTTTTTGGTTTAAAGCCTTAAACATACAAAGCCAGCACAGCAGCCGGAAGTTTAGGCTGGCGGCTCTCTTCCTGATATATTAGTGTTCAGATGAACCCTGTGACCCTCCCCCTCTGTGGTTTTTCAGAACACTGATTTACCACCCCTATAAAAACACAGCTGTAGTTTAGTGTTTGCTGCAGCGACCTTTAATACTTGCCAGGAGCAGCTTGCATGTGAAACCGAGTGGGCGCTAAAAGTCATTCTTAACCAAAGTTTTGGTGTGTGCATATATTTTTTTTCCTTAAACGTTGTCGCTGTTGCTGCCGTTCTCTCCGTGCCTCCGTCCTCTGGTGAAAGTGTCCGAAATCTGCATGCACAACCATTGTCTTCGGTGTCGTATTAATGCCAACGATGTTTGGAAAGCACTAATGAATAAGTGCAATTTCTTTTCTCTATTGTTGGGTTTTTTGTAAAGTTGCTCAAATGCTCTCAGGTATGGCCGCCCTGAACGGAGGACTCGGTGCAACAGGCTTGACGAATGGTACAGCCGGCACAATGGATGCCCTCACCCAAGCTTACTCAGGAATCCAGCAGTATGCCGCCGCGGCACTGCCTACGTTGTACAGTCAAAGTTTGTTGCAACAGCAAAGCGCTGCAGGCAGCCAGAAAGAAGGTAAGAACTTAGGCCACTAAGAGACGCAAAGCAAAACCAAACTCCCCAAAAGGTGGGTGGGTGGGGGAGAAGAATAAGATTTCCGTGCGAAATTCAAAACATTTTAAATTTACTGTATGAAAATCACCATTGTTCATTATTATATTAATAGTAAACACGCAGAGCTATAGCTTGCTCTTCTAGGGTGCTCGGAACACACAGGGCACTTTAGAATACAATTAAGACAATTAGCAAAACAATTGGTCTAAACCATGAATCAAGTAAATCCTTGGTGTTTTTTTTTCTTTTCCTTAATATCATTTCCAAATGTTGGTGTTTCGTTCCATTTCATTTTAAATGTTGCTATACTTAGCATCCATTAGTTGGGATCATGATGGTACCGTAAGGAAAACGTCTGGATAACACCGGGTGAGAGCAGATGTGAAAGATAGCCAGCCGAGGGTGAGAAGAGGGGACAGCCCAGCCTCACCCAGACTCAGCCTCTAGCGGCCCCCAGGTAAATTGAGTTTAACCCCTGGTCTAAACCATGAATCAAGTAAATCTTTGGTGTGTTTTTTTTTTTCTTTTCCTTAAAATCATTTCCAAATGTTGGTGTTTCGTTCCATTTCATTTTAAATGTTGCTATACTTAGCATCCATTAGTTGGGATCATGATGGTACCGTAAGGAAAACGTCTGGATAACACCGGGTGAGAGCAGATGTGAAAGATAGACATGAGAGGCGCCTCGGATTCGTTTGAAGAGAAAAGTTGGTTGTTGTGGGTTTTTCGGGCTCTTTGGCCATGTTCTGAAGGTTGTACTGCCAGTATCTGTGGCCGGCATCTTCAGAGGACTGGAGTTGGAACTCTATGCTCTGGTGCAGTTTGTTTGGGAGTTACATTAGTTAAGAAGGGAATTCTTAACTAATGTAAGCACGTGAATGCCCCAGTATGAGCTCCTTTAACCTCTCAGATGATACAAATTCACTTACTTTGGGGATTGACCTTGAAAACCTAGACATGAGAGGCGCCTCGGATTCGTTTGAAGAGAAAAGTTGGGGAAGATATTTAAAATAAATAAATAACCGTTTTGATAATTCCTTTTGAATCTGACTCCGCCCCTATTTATAGACTTGCCAGCACTACCTTTCTATAGCATTAACGTGCTTCCAATTCTGATTACTGGCTGTTAGAGATGGGCATGAACTGCTAGCCGGTTTGGTTCTTGCCAGTTCATTTGTCAGCCAAACAGGTGTTGGGCGCATCCAATCCCCACCTCCTCCGGTACGCAAGCCATTCAGAGGCAATGCCTGATGGAGGCAGGGCACTCCACTCCGAGTGGGCGCATGCCCGAGGAGGCAGAGCTGGGATGTGCGGAACACTTGTTCAGCCAAAAAAAAAAAATGAACCACCACAAACTGTCGAACCAGCACATACTGCCCATCTCATTTCTGATGGCTGTTTCCAACCCCGGGATTCTCTGCTAGCAAATGAGAACATTCAGAGACGTCTCATTGCCCCCAGGGTGAAATGGGGAAAGTGGGATGAGGAAGATGATGACAAGAACTGAAGCAACGTTTATATATCAATGCACCCATCCATATGTAAACACAGTGCTTGAAGATTACATAAGGAATCTATAAACGTTTAACTATCCCGGTTCTGAAATTTATTTCATTAGCCTTTTCCTCCCAACCCTCCCCATCCATTATTTCTTCATGTCTGCTATTTTTGCACATAAATTCCTGAACTATCCTTGAAATGTGCTTGATTCAGTGGAGGGAGCTTCCCTCTCTGGGTTCCGGATTTACTGCAAACAGGCAGATTTTTTTTTGAGTGGACTGTGTGTGGAGGTTAATGACTAGATCCATCGTTATTACATTGAAGGGTTCCTTATTTAATTGCAGGTCTTGAGGGGAAGCAAACAAATGATTGATTCCTTTGTACTCAGGGCCAATAGAGCAAAATAAACCCTAGTAAGTTAACATTGGGAATAAATTAATACTAATTAGAAGGTGCTCGCTGGAAATGGAAGGCTTCTCTTTCCTCTCTTCTCCCCAGCCCGCGTGACTCTGCTCTCTCCCTGCTGTCCCAGGAATGTGATGGTTTTATAGGTAGCCAAGTTGCTTTTAGCATGGACAGCTGTTAATTTTAGACTGCAAACTCAAGGGATCAAGTGTGCTCCAAGAAATAAAGGCCTTGCTTTGACTGTAAAGCAACAATGGCACATGGTCTAAACACCTCAAGAGCAGAAATGTAGCCTGGAAATGCTGTTGGACCCAACATTGTCACATACCGCCTACATGACCCGGATGGCTTCATCCACTTCAACAGCTTTATACTTTCTGGTTAAGATTTAATATAGCTAGAGTGGTCCATGCCCCCAAATTCAAGGGTCAGATTTACTACCATGCTTTCTTTGTGGGGCTGCTTTTGAAATTAATAGACTAGTACAGATTATAGCTTCTTAAAATCCAACTGGTTTCCCTAGAGAGGGATGGCAAACCTTTTGACGTGCTGGAATGCCAGGGACATATATTAGATCCGTTCTAAAAGAAATGCTTACTGGAAGGACAGATCCTGAAACTGAGGCTCCAGTACTTTGGCCACCTCATGAGAAGAGAAGATGCCCCGGAAAAGACCTTAATGTTGGGAAAGTGTGAAGGCAAGAGGAGAAGGGGACGGCAGAGGATGAGATGGATGGACAGGGTCATTGAAGCGATCAACATGAATTTGGCCCAACCCCGGGAGGCAGTGGAAGACAGGAGGGCCTGGCGTGCTCTGGTCCATGGGGTCACGAAGAGTCGGACACGACATAATGACTAAACTACAACAAAAGGACTGCAATACCACTAAGTCTAGTTCAAGGTGCTGGTACTTGCCTTCCAATCCCCAAAGACATTGAAGCCCCAATATCTGAGGGAGCACCTCCTCACAGTACAGTACATTACATTCAAATAATCAAAGAAGTGCCTTCTATAAGAGAAATGACCCTACAGAGACATTTCTGCAGCAGCACCTTGAACCCCCTTACAGGAGTTTCTCCAGGCCCTTCAACTCTGTGTTGTTGTTGTTGTTTTAAAAAAAACATGTCAAAACCATTTTTATGTACAAAAGCATTTATTTTAATTTGTGATTTTCTCTTTCTAACACAGGTTTGTATTATTAATAGCCACTGGAATAGTCTTTAGCCTCCCAATATATATGGCCAGCATACTGTTATCTATTAATATATATCTTAATGTCAAGCATTATATTATATTATATTATATTATATTATATTATATTATATTTTCAATGCATTTCGATGGGCTTTTTCGTTACGCTTGACGAGCGATTTGAATGGAACGAATTATCCTCGTCAAGCGAGGCACCACTGTAAAGTCCCAGTTGTAGCAGTGCATTTCTGGGTCGAATTCAGCCCAAGTTCAGCGAGGGTTACAGTGGGTTGCAAAAGCTTTCTGCAACATTTGTGAAGTTAATGATAAGAAAAAGGATTTTCTTTTTTCCAATCATGTTAGTTTTATTTGTATAAAAACCATGTCCGTGTTCAAGCTTACTACACTGATTACAGCCGCCTGTAGCCATGCATGTGCATGCCAACATGTGCTGAGGTTGTGTGCCTGGATGGTGCTCAGTGAATGTCATCAGGGTCAATTAAAGCAGCTGACTGCAGACCGTTCCATCTTTTCTTACAGGTCCAGAAGGAGCAAACCTTTTCATTTATCACCTCCCGCAAGAGTTTGGAGACCAGGACATTCTGCAGATGTTCATGCCATTTGGGAATGTTATTTCTGCTAAGGTCTTCATTGACAAACAGACCAATCTGAGCAAGTGCTTTGGTATGTAATGGTTGATACACAATGTCAACCAAGATATGTGGAACCTATCCTTTCTCCCTTACATTTTCACATCCCAGCACTTCATCTTCAGAGTGTGACTGATCTCCTGTATTCATAATGCCGATCTGAGTAACTTGGCCATATATCTGTAACTGGTTAACTGAGCATTATGTTTCCCATTCAGAACATAGGCTAATCTTCCTCTGCCCCTAATACTTGGCTCCCATTTCCCAAAAAAAAGCAGTCTGTCTCAGCATGTTGGAAAGATTAAAAGGGGGAAAGCAAAGCAAAACACTGTGTCACTTCAAAGACTTATGGATTAATTGCAGTGTGAGTTTTATGGATCAAAATCCACTTCTTCACACACCTGAAGAAGCAGATTTTGAACCACAAAAGCCCCTACCAAAACAAGCGAGCCAACAAATACATTTCACACCAAAAGGCATCTGTTGATCTTCAAAATCCCGTATGCTACCTTGCATTTTCCCTCTTTTTATTATTATTATTTCCCCGTCTTCAACTTTGGCAGCATGCCTGCATTGTGTATTTGGTTCAAATGGGCCAACGGACGGTTTTTCAGATTTAATGCCATGTGTGGAATGAAGGCAGTGCTCCTGTGCCCAATAATAAGTATTGGGACTCTTGGACTCCACTACCAGAAATGGAAGATCATAAGTATTTGTGGCCCCATCCCTGGAAGGCCGTCAAACCAAAGGCAATATCCTTTCTGCTAGATTTAAAGAGATGTGTATTTGGACCCCATTGTACATTGCCATGAATCAGATCTGTATATTAGCCCTTCCATCTCCACGCCCTGTTCTTATGCATTTCTGTACTCCAGATAAGGGAAGTGCTTGTGTAGCTTGTGCTTTGCAAATCTCATGAAAAATCCACGAGAAGAATGTAATTTCACACACACAAAATCCATGAGAAAAATGTCATTTCACACAAACACACACACACTGCCATTAATCTTGAAAAGGCACAAGAATGTGTAGTTCAATCAGTAAGGGAAAAAAAGAAGCGTACAAAACATTTCCTGATACGCACAACAAAAAGTGTCAAGTGCATAAAACTAATTACACTGCAGGGGGAGAATGCCATTAGTTATACAATCAAGCTACCTTATTATGGACACCTAATTACGTTCTCTTGTATAAGAAAACTCCCCGTGTTTAACTCATTACTAACAAATTACATTAAATCCTCTCTAGGAGAAACTATGCAATTAGACGTTTCCTCTTACTTTTCCCAGAATCCTCACAAATAGGGCATAGAGCACATGTCGAGGGATTGTTCCTCTTCATGCTGATCGAAATGCAATCCACAGAGCATGCATGCCGTAAGGGGGAGTATCAGCAGACAAGGGGTAACCCCCACGTTTTCCCATGCTATGAAAGAATGTTGAGGGGGGAAACAGCCATAGACGTGCCTTGACCACTGCAAAAAATATACAGCCACATGAATGTTTGTGGGATTCAAACAATGAAATAAAGAGAATTGGCAATGGGATAGACAGAGAGCAGAAGTGAACAGAATGGCTACATAAGGAATGGGAAGGAAAATGAAGAGAACAAAAGGTAAATAGAACCACCTCTCTGTTTCAATAAAGCAATTCTTATTTGGCATGAAAAGCTATTTTAAAATATATCCAGAGAGGGAAGTAAGAAATTTCTAATGATGCTAGCGGAGCAACAAAGATTTTAGTGTCATTTGGAATGGGCATATATGTGTCTATCCTGACCTGGGTTTTTTTTTGGGGGGGGGGACAAAAGGTAAGTGGGAGGAGGAAGAAGTGGAAGAAAAGCACTCTGTGGGGCAACATTTTGTTAAATTTCTCTTCCGAGAGCATTCTGATTTTAAAGACCCACAACAACGTTTTCCATTCTCCTCTTTCCTAAGCAGTAGGAATGCTTAAAACATTCGTTGTATGCTGTCCCTTTCCTTGGAAGTTCAAGACAGTAGAGGAATCAAAATGCTTTCAGGGGAAAAATGCCCCTCAAAACAGAATTTCTTGTCAAGTAACCTTGGCAAGCATCCTTCGCCGGATGTTGCTTCTGCTATCACAAATCTTTTGACAGTTTCCCATCCCAGCCCAACAGAACTTCAGAAATTTTATTGATTTTAATGTCGTGGTTTGCCCACGTGCAGATTGACATCATCTTTCTCCCCAGACACACTCTTCTGCAGGCGAGGCCTCACATTCTAGTCACTTGGTGTAGCCACTGGTCAGCAAAGACTAGTAGAGTCAAACTGGATATAATTGGACAGCTATATCTATTTTATGTATGTGTCTGGTATACTTATATTTCAGGCAGGTAACTGTGCTGGCTCTAGTTTTTACATTGAAAGTAGCTCAACAGAGAAAATGCTATCTATTCACTTACTGTTGAGAGTTGAAAGCAAGCATCTGATACGTGATATAGTCAGAGGACTGTCAAATACTTTGAGATCTCAGGATCTCTCTAGAAAGCAGATACAGTTCCCTCTTTGCTGACCTTTTTGAGGACTTTAGGGTCTTATAAATTCCTATTTTGACTCAGTAATGGAAGCCATAATTTTCAAGACCTGAACAGAGCTATAAACGATAGAACTTTCCAGGTCATCAATTCATAGGGTCACTGTAAGTGAAATTATCATTAATTAAAATTGAAGTAGTGCCAAATTACTGGTTAATTTAAGCTATACATGGTTTTGTGTTTTGAATGTCAAGTTTTAAAATGTCAGAATATGGTAAATGCATTTATTTGGGGAAGAAGAAAAACCCAGGTAATATTTTAAAGCAGCAGCTGAATGGATATCTGATAATGTTGTGGTCCTAGAGCAGCAGAAGGAGGAGGTGCGATAAAGCAAAAGAGTCTGCTTCAGTCACTTCATTTTACTACATGCATAGATTAGTTTTGAGTGACCTCAACCGGCGTGGATATCACATTGGCCCGAATGAGTCAAAACAAAGCTTTGGTACAGGTGAGAAGATTAAGGAATTGCTCTTCCTCTGAATAAATGTAATTAGGTAAGAAGAGAGAATAAGCAAAGTGTATGTAAAGTGAACTGTGAAGAATTTCTTTTTTTAGGGTAGCTTTCAGATGTCCATAGTTTTGTTGACTGCATTTCATTGCCATTTCATTAGTTTTATCCTCTGGTTTCTCTTTCTTTTTAAATAATGACAGCCTTTAATTGGCCTTTTAATTCTACTTAACTCTCTTTATATTGTCTTCTTTTTTAGCCACTTGAAACTTTTTGGAAAAGTGGGATAAGTATTTTAAGTAAATAAATAAGGAATACCACTACCAGTGATGTTGTAAATTGGGCCAAAATTCTGCTGTCTTTTTATGTTAGTGTGATGCAATTGATTTAAATCACACTGGTGAATTGCCACAAGTTAAGTTCATGTAGGCATTTGCTGTTGCAAAGTTAAGAAGTTTGTGTAGGCATTTGCTGTTGCGTATCTCATTGTGTGACTCTGCACACAACAAGTGACCACACGAACATCTTAACTGATGTTAATTCAGCAATGGGGTTACACCAATTGTGTTACACCAGCAGGCGTGACCAACAGCCTTTTGGCCATGGTATCATAGACACGGATTTTAATCATGTGTTGCACAGATGACCCTAAGGTGGCTACCCATTTGCAATTTAGGTTTAGACGCTGGATCCAAAGAAAGTCTGGGGGAATGCCTCTTCTTATTTGCCCAGCCTAATGTTCCTTCAAAAGCCTGTTCTGCTCTTCCCTCAGTCTAAAATAATTCCTGCTGAATCAACTGTGCCAGAGTCCTTATGTTCCTTCAGAAGCCTATTCTGCTCAAAAACGAATGTCTTCCCTCAGTTTAAAATAATTCGTGCTGAATCAGCTGTGCCAGAGTACACTCCACTTAGGATAATTCCTCAATGTTCATGAGAGGCTCTGGGGTAGGCTGTCACCGCAGGCCTTCCTGAAATGAACAAGAGACATTGCACTGCATTATTTCGTTTAGCAAATGTTCCTTCAGAAGCCTATTCTGCTCAAAAACGAATGTCTTCCCTCAGTTTAAAATAATTCGTGCTGAATCAGCTGTGCCAGAGTACACTCCACTTAGGATAATTCCTCAATGTTCATGAGAGGCTCTGGGGTAGGCTGTCACCGCAGGCCTTCCTGAAATGAACAAGAGACATTGCACTGCATTATTTCGTTTAGCAAAAGAATACACATTCTGCTGAGAAAGGAGATCGAGGAATCTAGGAGCATAGCAAGATTTGAAAACAATGTGAATCTCAGGGAGAGTATAATTGCAGCACTGAAAAAATACATGAAAACACATCATTACAAAGAAAAACATTCAATGGTTGTTGTGGGTTTTTCGGGCTCTTTGGCCGTGTTCTGAAGGTTGTTCTTCCTGATGTTTCGCCAGTCTCTGTGGCCGGCATCTTCAGAGGACTGGAGTAGGAACTCTGTCCATGCTCTCTGCATGGACTCAGTCCAGAGCATGGACAGAGTTCCTACTCCAGTCCTCTGAAGATGCTGGCCACAGAGACTGGCGAAATGTCAGGAAGAACAACCTTCAGAACGCCACCAAAGAGCCTGAAAAACCCACAACAACCATCAGATCCCGGCCATGAAAGCCTTCGAGAATACAAAAATATTCAAGTTACAGCAATAGAGGACAGGTTTGGCTTCTAGCACAATCCCTGTAGAAATGAATGAGAAACACAAAATGTATGAAACACAATCAAAAGAGAAATGAAGTGAATCGCCATTGATGAATGGAAGAAGAAAGGAAGTTGTCTGCTATACATGAAGCAACTAGTTCGAGCATGCATCTGTATTTTAGATGTCGGGGTTAGTCTTGGTTCTGATGGTCCATGGTCAACAGAGCTGTCTTCTGCAAGTGACTGTTTGGGGGCAAAAAAAAAAACACTTTTTAAAAAATGATGAGCTGATGAACATACTTGGAGGACCGCACAGCCCTGGCGGGAACATACAGTCAAACACGGCAGTTTCCTCATTCTTAGAATGACAGAATGAGCGTGTCTATGAAATATCTGCGACGTTGTTGGCTGATTTTAACTTTTTCTCCCTCTTTCCTCTCCCCCACCCCCACTTTTGTGTATTGTAGGTTTTGTTAGCTATGACAATCCTGTCTCCGCGCAAGCTGCTATACAGGCAATGAACGGCTTTCAGATTGGCATGAAACGCTTGAAAGTTCAGCTGAAGCGCTCCAAAAATGACAGCAAACCTTACTGATCATTACCCCAGAAGCTTACTGCTATTAATTTAGATTTCTTAGGGTAAGTCCCTTGAGCAAAGCCATCCTCCCCGGGGGCAGGGGAGGAGGGGGCTTCAAAACGAACTTAACACATTGCCAACCACCGCCCGGCGACCGCTGTTTTTGACAACACTGCTTCCATTTTCTCCACAGTTGCCGTTAAAGGAAACTTGGCTATCCCAACCAAATAAATATCGAAAGTCGTGGTGTACTTTTATTTGAAATGCCTGGTTTATATATTTTTTTGTGTGTTTTTTAATGACCTTTGAAAGGAAAACATAGATACCCTTTGAAATCTTAAGAATTCAATCTGTCAAGAGGGGAAAAAAAATGCTTTTTTATAACTTTTTCAGCCCTGGTGTCCTTTAATTCTTTCATTGGGGAAACTGAAAGCAGTTGTAAATCTGGACCTAGGCTTATCGAAATGGCACCAGCAGTTTATAGGCTAACACAGTGGCCCATGGCCAGGAAAGGAACTCATTTGCAAAACACCACCAATTCTTTCCATTACTTCTGTTTGTAGTTTTGTTTTTTCCTTTTTTTTCCAATTAAGGGGCTTGTATATTTTTGTTTTGTTTTGTTTTTTAGGGCTTCAGATTGACATGACGTCATATTCTCCTGTTCAATACTGCTTGTCTTTATATATTTCACATCTTTTATTTTAATTTTGTTTTTGTTTTCTTGTTTTTTGTGGTTTTTTTATGTTCTTAGGGGAATTTTTTTTAGAGTGTTAGTGTAAAAATAAAATGAACAGAGATCGGTTTCTAAAGCTACAGGGTTTAAAATAAATAAATAAATAAAGAGTGATAATACTTGATGTTTCTTGAAAGATAAAAAAATTAATAATAATAATAATAGATCACAAAAGAAAGCCACAGGCCTGTAAATTTTATTTGTAAAAAGCATTTCTATTTTTATACAAAAATTTTTACTGCCTCAGAAATAATGGAAGTTATTTATTGCCTATTGTTAACTTATTGGATATCTAAACAGCAGCTCTCTCTGCTAGCTAGATCCTTTTTTGAAGTAGTCTCTGAAGTATATGTGCCAAGAATGGGTGCTTTTTCACTGTTGAATCCTACATCTTTTATGGTTCATACTTTTATATCCTCCTGTTTGTATTCTGTCAAGTTATCTTGTTTGTAGTTTCCATTATCTGGTTTAAAATCTGGTTGTCTTGGACTATTCTCTCTCTCTTTCTGCCTACCCCGAACCTGCTCCTACAGTGCACCCCCCCCATGTTACATTTGTTGAAACTGATTCTTTATTCTCCCCCACACACACCTTACTGTCCCCAAAGAAAAGAGGAATCCATCTTTTCTAACTCTTTCCAGATGGATTCGTTTTTGGGGGGCGTTCTCATTGTGCTGTCTTGACTTACAGTTAATGCAAATTGTGTGAACAACTGAGATCTTAATGATGAAAGATTTGCATTAGTTTTTTTTCCTTGCACCCATTAAAAATGATTTTATTTCTGCTGCATAGACTCTCCGTAACTTTTTTTCCTCTTCCTTGTTTTTCCCTAGACATCTTCATGCCCGTTAGTTCATCGTTTGCCTAGCATGTCCCTGTGGCGTCTTAAAAAAAAAAAGTTTCATCGTCCCGTCATTGTTTCTGATGTCTTTCTGACCTCACATTATAATTTGGTTCTCCTACTGATCTATAGTTTGAACCTTTGAAATTTTGCATGTGACCTCATCTAGCTATATGAATCCTGGGAAGTCAGTGTAAAAAGCATTAATGCGTTTATGCCAGTTGGGAATTTATTATCAGTCAAATTAATGTTAGGAGTATCACACACACACACACACACACACACAAACACACAAACACACACATACACAACCTGTGGCAAAATGTTTTGTTAGGGTTTTTATTTGTTCCTTTTCCCTTATTTTTTTTTTTGGTCCTCCTTTTCTTTTTGTGTTTTAAAAAAAACAGACTTGAAAGTATTATACAGAGATTGGCATTCTGGCTGGTCACTGATGAGAAATAGCAATATGTGTCCAGAGTCACAGAATGTTCGGTTTCTAACAGACTACTTCCAAAACAGTTTGAAATGAAGAACTGTCTGATTTTAAGTCTCTAGAGGTCTGTAATAGTTTTTACATTTTTCAGGCAGTGTAAAGTTTTTTGATAAGGCCATTTTAGGTGGCTCACTTTCTCATTAAGAATATATATATAGAACCACTTTTTGTAGATTAGTATAACAAAAAATAAAGTTTACCCTGTTTTAGGGCAAATGCTACCTATTTGTGTCACCTTTTGCTGAACTGACTCACAAGTTAGACAATCCATGAATTAATGCACATGAAAATTACCTATATTTTATACTGTTTCGATGTACAGGAGAAAAGTTACTGTAAGCTGTCGCTCCATTGGTGCTTTCGTGAATTAAGTTGTGACTTCATCATGGGTCTTACAGTCTTTTAAGTGTTCAGTGTTTATAAACAACAGGTTTGAAATTGGTTTTTACTTGAAACAAAATCGACGACAGAACAAAAAAAAAGGATTTCAAAAAACAAAAAAAGTTGTTTGCTTAAAATTTAAAAAAAAATAATAAAAAGAAAAGGGTTTCATGTGAAAAATAAAAACTATTCCAGACTAAGTTTGTGTTGGCTTCTGTGATGCATTGATGTCAACTTTTTTTTAATTATTATTATTATTATTGTGGACAATTTAGATGTGTTTGTGTTCAGCAAAATGTGATAAGTTTCTTCTTTTAAAGAAATAATAATAATAATAAAAAAATAAATCAGTGAAAAACTCTTAGTGCCAAATTCCAAAGGTACTTTTTCTTCATAGAGCTTCAGTGTGTTTCTTGTGTGAAGTAATTTGATAACATGGGTATTTTACTATGTGTTTTGTATAAATCCCTAATATTTAAAGGAAAAAAAAGAGGTTAAAAGTTTGTTAACTTGCTATCCTGTCGTCTTGTTGCCTGAAATTGTTGTTGTTTGTTATTTCTCTTGGATGTTTTTTGTAAAACATTGTATAAGTGCCCATGTTTCATTTTTCTAACCACTCTGCACATCGGCGCTGTGAAAGCAAACCTCACAATGTAATTTCTTCATATGTATGGAAACCTCTAAGGTGAGAAAGTTTTGAACTTTTAACCCTTTCCACCCAGAGCTGTCTTGAGTGTTAATACTTTTATACATTCACCATTTTGCTGTTTATTTTTATATATACATATATATATATATCTATAGCTATAAATATATATATACTTAATTTTTGTGGTTTATTTAATACATGGTTGAAATCAGAAAAATGCACAGGGCAGACCTGAAGGACAAAAAAAAAATATTTTACTGCTGTCTAAATTTCTTCTGTATCTATAACTTAAAAAAATATTTAAAATAGTAAATGTAGATCTCCTTTTTAGGTCTTTGGGTTTTTTTTGTCTTTTCTTAAAAAGAGCTTTTAATATGCTGCTGGACTATGCTATTCAGTATTAATAAAAATAAAGTAAAAATAATATTGTATGGCCACTCCTAGAGAGGAGAGGTAAACCCACAATTTGAAATCATGAAGAAGAAGAAAAAAATATTTTTGTAATAAAATAAAATGAACTTTTGCTTAAATCCAATGCACTAGAACTTCCTGGATGAAAACTTTATTGTGCACTGCAGTTAAACTAATTTTTATGGATGAGGTTTACACATGTTGTAATGCTTTGATGTGTTATCTTCCATGATCTATAATAATATATTGGTCCAGATGTAATAGATACAAAGTAGGTCTGGCAATATCTTTCGTTAACCTGGTTTGTATTGATAATGGAACATGCAGGCTTGGGAGATGCAGCAAACTCATTAAAAGGCAGGAGAACAACATGCTTCTCTCACTCAGTCGGGCACAGCAGTGGTCCCCAACCTTGGCCCTCCAGATGTTCTTGGACTTCAACTCCCAGAAATCCTGGCCAGTGGAGGTGGTGGGAAAGGCTTCTGAGAGTTGTAGTCCAAGAACATCTGGAGGCCCAAGGTTGGAGACCACTGGGGCATGGGATCCATCACCTTGTCCTAGCCACAGGTCTTCAGGACTCCTGTGTAAACAGGTTATTGATGCTCAGAACAAATGTAGCCCATACACATGATCCAAGGGAAAAACAGGCCCATTAGATCATCAACCACATTTATCAAGAGAGGGGGGGAGGTGGTGACATTCCCACCAAAATATGTAGTGTTTACCCAAGGCGTCTATTTTCTTGCCTTATATATTTTTTTCAGGCTGAGCACAGAAGTATAAAATGTGATGTGCCAAAACAGTACATCAGCATCTTATCACTGGGCACCTCAGTCCAAGAGAACTGCAAAGTGAACTCCAGGAATCTGGGTTAAATTCAGAAAGAGCCTTCCGTGTTGCCCGGGCATGGCAGATACTTCCTGAATTCAGTGCACTTGGCATTGGAAAGTGGGGAGTAGAACGATAAATGCTCAAAGTTAAGGAAAGACAAAAGTCCTGCCAACTTTTGCTCACTTTGGTTTCAGAGGAGAAGGAAGCTGATGTGGCCTCAGTGGGTCACAAGAGCTGGAACTTGGCCTCTGGACCTCGAAAGCGTACTGATCCTTGCCCTGGCCATTTTAGGACGTCATCATTTGCACAATGTTTAGTTTGTCATTTCTGCAATGGAATTACTACATGTGCCAATGAGCTGTCACTAAAGCTTGTTTGATTCCCAGCCCCACAGGACCATCATGTACAATATATCGTCCATCTTTGACACTGAATCTGCTTTTTTATTTTTTTGCCCATATGCAAGAACATACACAGATATAGCTGAACACACACCGACATAGTAAATAGGTATAGTGCATGTGTCAGACTGTTGTAGCTAATCAGGGCTTCCTGGCCTTAAATGTTTAGGAATACACAACATTCGTGTTTCACATATTTGCTGCAGCAGCAAACATGCTGTGAAATGCATCTCAAGAAGAAACTCTGTCATAGATCCTAAGATTGTGATCTTGTTTCTATGAAGGGACTAAACGAGGACTAAATGATACGTTTGCAATTCACTTTTCTGTCGTACCTAACTTGTAGCCTCAGCTTTCCATTTTATTGGACAAATGTTTTCTGCATAACTCAGAAGCTTGCATGATCCATCCACAGAAAGTGATTCAATTTAAAAGGTATCACCTCATTTATTTTGTATCTCTTATTCTCTGTTGCAACAATATATGGGCACAGTCCTGAAAAGATTCACGGGGGGGGGGAAAAAAAAACTTTATTCACATAGTCAGGGGATTCTGCAAATCCTCCATGTTTTCAGAATAAAACCCAAGAAGCTGAAAAGAAAGGGAGGCAGAGCTGACGACAGCCCTTCCCTCCTTTTAAGTCGAATTGGATATGATAACATTCCTCTTCCTTAACCAGAATTTGGGTCTTCTGTGCTGGCAAACCACCCCTTGTTCCAAGCCAATACATTTCAGCAGCTTTCTATGCTACTGATAAAAGTGCCATAATCATTCCTCGTTGTCTATTCCTCTTTGAGTTCATTCAAAACACTTCCCAACTCCTTCCTTCCTTTAATCCCCTTTGGAAATTACCTTTTTAAAAATATAGATGATGTCCATGCACCCCCTTCTTGCTTTAAAATGATTGTCTTAGAGAGAAGCCCTGGGTTGGAAAGGACTAGAATCCAAGTGATGCAAAAAAAAATTAATAAGAATAATAATAAGGTTTCTTATGGCACATACAGGTAAAAAACACTCTTGTGATTCTCTTAGGTTTTTACTTCTTGCTGGGGCCTTCATAAACCCTTTGAGGGCTATTTTATACTTAATGCAGCGGTTTTTTGCCTGCTGAACGATCATAAACACTCTGATGCATAATATGGGATCATCATTGTGTCTTTCCAGGACATATTGCTGTTCTTCGGCATTTACATTTCCAGAATAAATGTGCTTTAAATTGACCAAAAAGAAGAAGCCCCTTAGTTCCTGATCTAGTGTAGAAGAACTTGGTGAGAATACTGCCCCTAACAGCTTGCTGTTCAGCTCTTTTATTTCAGTGGGACCTTGTACTCGAACATCACACAAACCCTGCTAAAAAAGCAGCAATGTCTGCGGAACAGCACAGTATCTAAGTCATGTCACCAGCTGTGCTAAGTTGCTTGAATTCCAGAATTTGGATTCGTTTTGATACTAGAGATGGGCACGAACCGCCAGTTCGTTTACTGGTCTAAGAGGTGTATGGCAGTTCCCAGCCCTACCTCCTCCAGCAGGCGCCCACTCAGAGACAGCGCCAGGGGAGGCGGGACAGAGAAGCTGGGCTGCTGCCTCCGAGTGGGTGCCCAGTGGACGAGGTGGGGCTGGGAACTGCCAAACACTTGTTCAGCTGGTAAACAAACCAGCACAAACTGCTAAACCACAGGTTCGTTTCCATCTCTTGTTTATACCAGTAAAATCTAGCATTCTAGCCACTAGCATTGATTTCCCAAGTCTTTTCATTTTCCCAGCGTAAAGAAATCTTGCCTATACATAGAAAATAAATCTAGAAACTTAGATCACTTCCTTAACAATAAAGACTAGGATCCACAGAAACGACATGCCATGTTTAGGATCAAAGCATCCTT